CTAATTTAGAAACTCCTCTTCTCCTTGATTTCTCTTGATTTCTTCTTAGCATATCACCATATCCTTCTTTACATGTCAAATGATGAACCCCACATCTCTTCAATAGTCCTTAATGCCTTTCAATCAGTCAATTGACCTAGAGTTGACCTAGGGTTGACCCAGATGAAACCCTAGTTGACTGTCTTCATCCACAACTCTTGTGATCATATCAAGGACTTGTCTCCTTCTCCAAATGACTTTCTAAGTCTCCCATGGTGCCCACATACTCTCCATGCTCCATCCACAGCTCACAACTTACTTGTTGATCCTCAGACACCCTCAGATAGGAGCTAGAAGCCCTGCTTGATCCATTGACTTCTCAACTTTCAAATTCTTTCTGATGACTTGAATGAGATTGAATTAGAATAATAACCTCTTGATAGGCTCATAGAGATGAGAATAATGCTTAGTCCCCTGTTGGATGACTTGCTATGCTTATGCTATGCAGATGGTTAGGCTATGTACATGACTCTATATGCAAATGCTAATGATATTGAAACATAAACCAAGTGAATAAGGTTGGGCAAATTTTAGGGTGCAACATAGGGCCATAGTCCAATGTAGGCAGTCTCCCGAGAAAGCGGAGGCTGCTGAAAAAGCTGTAAAAAACCTCCTAGAGGCAAATTTTATATCGGAAGCCCAGTACACAACCTGGATGTCCAATGTTGTACTTGTTAAAAAACATAGGGAAAATGGAGAATGTGTGTTGACTATACCGATCTCAACCGGGCATGTCCCAAAGATGCTTACCCATTACCTAACATCGACAAACTCGTCGACAATTCTGCAGGTTTTAAACTGTTGTCGTTCATGGATGCATACTTGGGATACAACCAGATCCATATGGCAAATATCAACAAGTAATACACGACCTTCATGACCGAGTCAAGAAATTATTACTACAGTGTAATATCCTTCGGTCTGAAGAATTTCGGGGCGACATACCAAAGGATGATAAACAAGGTCTTCCGAGGAGAAATCAGATACATGCTCGAAGTTTATATGGACAACATGATCGCGAAGTCACGAGAAGAGGTCGACCATACCGCCCATATCAAGAAGGTCTTCGAAACGAAGAGGAAGTGCAGGATGAGGTTCAACCCTAAAAAGTGTACCTTCGACGTACGAGCAGGTATATTCCTCGGTTTCTATTTAACAGAATGAGGAATAGAAGCCAACCCGGACAAGTGCATGGCCTTTTCTGAGTTTGCCATGTAACAACCCAAATTTCATTAATTAATTAATTATGTTAATTAATTGATTTATTGGAATTAATCTTAATGATTTAGATTATTTGGTAGATAATTGAAGAGAGAAATGGGAAGGAAAGAAAATAATAGAAGTATATAAGGGATAAGTGGAAAGAATTGGATAGAAAGAAAATAGAAGAGAAAGAATAGAGAAAGAGGAGAAAAGAGAAGAGAAGAGGGAAACTTGGAGAAATCATCAAGAATCAACTTCAAACTTCAATCCAATCAAGGTAAGGGTGAGAAACATTATTATCTAGTCAATGTATGTGGTTATGTATGTGTGGGTTGGGTTTCGTTGTGAGTTTTCACCATTTTTCAAGTTAGGGCAAAATGGATTTAATCGGTAGAATCGTAGTTTAATCGGTTAGAAACTGAAAATAGTACTGTAGAATAGTCGGGTGATGTGGGATTAAGATTACTGGAATTGGTTCGGTGAGAATCGGTCGATTTTTGGAGGGTAGAAGTTTTGGGACAGAATGAGGGTTCTGATATCGCAGGTTCGCTGGCTCTCGCCAGGCGAGTGAAGGCGAAGCCCAGCGAATAGCTGGCGAATAATTCAAGAAAACTCCCAGTGGTCTTTGCTGGCAAGTTCGCCAGGCGAAGGTGAGTGGCGAAGGTTCGCCAGGCGAGTACTTCAACGAAGGGTAGCGAAACAAGTCAGTAGCTACTGACTTTGTTCGCTGACGAGTTCACCAGGCGAAGGTCCCAGCGAGCATTCGCCAATGGCTTCGCCAGGCGAAGCGCGGCGAGCAGGACAACATTGTTTCTTTTCTGTTTTATCCATCCAATGATTAATTGCTTGGTTCAATTATGTTAACCCTATGTGATATGAATAACTTGTGTGCTATTGTGGTGAGCTGTGGGTAGCCTTTAGGCGTGAATCCTAGACCGTGATATGTGTATTGTTTGAATTGATTAGGGATATATGAGAACATATTAGTGAATATGTGTGTATTGTCTAATAATTATGTGAATGCATATTGTTGTATGCTAATGTATGGAATGCACGGGAACATATCGTGGATATGTGTGCATTGTTTAATAATTGTGAGAAATGCATGGGAACATATCGTGGATATGTGTGCATTGTTTAATAATTGTGAGAAATGCGTGGGAACATATCGTGGATATGTGTGCATTGTTTAATAATTGTGAGAAATGCATGGGAACATATCGTGGATATGTGTGCATTGTTTAATAATTGTGAGAAATGCATGGGAACACATCTTGGATATGTGTGCATTGTTTGATGATGTGATAATGGTATTGATAAATGAATACATTGATGATTGTTGTGATATGTTGTGTGTGCAATCATGTTATAATTCGTATGTGATGAATTATTTGAAATGCATGGGATTAAGATGCGGGAACGGTCTTAAGTGTATTTTGTTGGTTGATTGCATATGCATCATTTAGTCAAGAGGCAATGTTTGCTAGTTTCGTGGAGACTAGTGGCTTGTCCCAAACCTAGAAGGGTGGGTTTGAAAGCCTAGGGGATGGGCTTTGTTGTTATCGGTCTAGAAGGGTGGACCCGGTTTAAATGTAAAAACCGAAAAATGATAACAAGTGTTGGTACCACATGACATGAGTTGCATTGAATCACATGGCATATTTGTGATTGTTGTATGAAGCATGCATGTGTGCATGACAAGTTGATTTGAGAGTGTGAATATAAGATTGTTGTATGCAAAAAAATGCTATGTGTATGTTATGTGGATTGACGAGGACTATGGATATGTGCATGATGAATATGCTTGATGATTGTCCATATTTATTTATATAAGTATTCCTTGCAAAGTATATGATGAGTTATGATGAAGTATGGTGAGAATTGTGGAATATGCGTATGTGCATTACTTGTGTAATTGAGAAATGTGAATGTGTAATAGTGAATTGGTGGATAAAACATAACATGTGTATGTTTATGTGGGATGTTGGGATTTATGGATGTATGCATGATAAAAATGCTTGATGAATGTCTATGTTTGTTTATATGCACATTGTGATGCATCTGATAATGGAAATGAATTGTGGTGAGAAAATGTGGGTTATATGTATTCTATAATTGTGTATATATATATAATTGTATGCATTGATTATTATGATAATATTTCTCACCCTTCTGCTGGAATGATGTCCTATATGACACCGTGCAGGTAAAAGAGTAGAGCTATTCGTTGTTGCGAGGTCGCTAATGGTGCAACTGTTTAGTAATTTAGTTATGGGTCGAGTCATGCTCTGGTTATGTAACACTGGGATCGCGGGGTTTATGCCTTAGAGATATTGTATATTCTAAGTTGTGTTTTAAGTGTATTTGAAATATGTGATAATGGCCTCTGTGCCTAAGTGTTGATGATTTATGTGATGAACATGAATATTCTGTGAAGGGATTTATGTAAATAAATTGAATCCGCTGCTACATGCAAGATGAAAATTTAATAGCATGACTATTTATTTCAATATTACATGAGTATGACAGGTGAATGTCGAGATTTGTAAAATTGTGTGACGCCCTTTTGTGAAAGCATGTTAATTTACTCTGATTAATTATGTATTTTTATGTGGGGTTAGAAGGGTGTTACATGCCACCCCGAACACAAATAAGTTTATCCATTCGCTAAATGAGATGCTCGCGTCTTTGTCACGATTCATCGCCAAGTCTGCACACACATGCCCTCCCCTTCTTCAAACTACTATATAAGGAGGCTACGTTAAAATGGACGGAGGAGTGAGAACATGCTTTCCTCCACCTCAAGCAAGTTTTCTCGGAGCCGCCAGTACTGTCAAGACCCGTGGCCGGGGAAACCTTATATTTGTATCTCGTCCTCGCCACAGAAGCCGTCAGCGCAACACTGATCCGCGAAACCCTTGAAGGACAAAAACCGATATACTTCACGAGCAAAGCCCTCAAAGGGCTGGAACTCAGGTACTAGTAAATTGAGAAAAATCAATTTCCTCTATTTTGAGTGTTCAAAGTTTTACAACGAAATTCTTGCAGCTTCAACTTCAATTTGGTTCAGATTAAGATTGAGGTGATTGTCAATGGTGGTGATAACTTCCATTAAAAAGTATTAGAGTTTGACCTAACACATTCTTACAAAACCGGTTAGTAAGGTGAGATGTACCACTCTATATAAACTATTTCAATGTTCTATCTTTAATCAATTTGGGACTTTAGGATCTTTCTAACACACCCCCTCATGCCCAACTCTGATACCATATTAGAGTTTGACCTAACACATCCTTACAAAACCGATACCATATTAGAGTTTGACCTAACACATCCTTACAAAACCGATTAGTACGGTGAGGGGTGCCACTCTATATAAACTATTTCAATATTCTATTTTCAACCAATGTAAAATTTTAGGATCTTTCTAATAAAAAGAAGTAGATTCTTCTCTCCATCATTTATCAATCTTTTAACTACTTAAATTTAGCAGAAACAAAGATTATTTATATTTGTATATTTTAACTTAAAAAATTGATATATCTGTCAATAAAAAATAAACTTTTTTTAAGGACATTAAAAAAAAAAGCTTAAAAAAATTATTGATGTAAAAGAAACAAAACTATACACAACTTCGGTCCATCTCCATTTCAGTTTGAGTTTTATTTGGATTCGATGAGCTCGGAGGAAGCATAAGGTTAGAAAATATCTCTCATCCCAATCGTATTGTGAATTAGGGTTTCAGTTTCAGAGAGAAAATGGGAACCCCACAAAAGGAGAATGAAAACAAGGGTTTCTTTTCCGCAATGTCTTCCCGATTTTCTCTCTTCAGCAATGCTATGCACCGATCTGTTAACGGGTACTTCATCTCTAACATCCCTTCAATAATTCACCTCAATAAACCTTCAATTTTCATCCCATTTTTGTATGCGCCGTTTTACAATCGTGAAAATTGTTCGTTGTTTTTTATGATTCTGATTTGGTTATAGGCTTCTTGGATATGAAGGTGTAGAAGTCATAAACCCAGAGGGTGGTAAAGATGATGTAGATGATGAAGCTCAGAGAGGAAGATGGAAACCAGAGGTACTCATTTTGGTCTATTGTTTTTCGGTTTTATTGATTGTTGAGGATAAGGATGCTAACATATGCTCCCTTTTTGGCTCATGTATATACAGGAAAGAGATGGTTACTGGAAGATGATGCAGAATTATATTGGTGCAGATGTAACGTCACTGGTTACACTTCCGGTTATTATATTTGAACCAATGACTATGATTCAAAAAATGGCTGAGGTTTGCTAGCTTTAAGTTTTTATGTATGTTATTGATTTTTTGATTTGTATTGTCAATTGATTGAAATTAGAACATTAAATGGCATGAACTAGTTGATGGAGTACTCCCACCTTTTAGATGAAGCAGATAAATCAGAGGATCCTTATATGCAGTTGGTATATGCATGTGAGTTATTTTCCCCCCTTGCGTATTATCTTATAATTTTTTTTAGGGACATAGTTTTAAGTATAAATGATGGACAAAACATCATGCATTTGTTTATATATATATTTTTGTATTTCTTCATTGTTTAATTTAAACTACATATTGATCACAGCGTCATGGGCTATATCTGTGTACTTCGCATACCAACGAACCTGGAAGCCTTTTAATCCTATCCTTGGAGAGACTTATGAATTGACTAACCATAATGGAATTACATTCCTTGCGGAACAGGTATCTATTCAGTTTGTGATTTTCATTGGTACTCTTTGATTTTCATAGGGGGCAAATCAATTGAGAATGACATGTTTATGTGTGTGTGCGTCGTGTTCAATTTCACAACCAAACTTTTAGTTGAATACAACATTCATTAATCTGGTCATGGAATTGTGTTATGTTATATGGATGGAAAGGTACATAACATATATATTTGAAACAGCTTCATCTCTATATCGAAATAAAGTGGTGCCATGAAATATCAAATTACTTTGAATTTGTAGACCAAATTGATCTACTAAATGAGAAATTTTAATTCAACGACTTTATTCATCATTTATAAAAAGAACTTATCAAGAGATCTAAATATATCGAGATTTACACTCTGGATCAAGGGATCCGAATTCTCTCACTCTCTCCCCCTGTGCAATACACATGCTAGCCGTTGAAAGAACATTAACTTCTTTTCTTCCTTTCTAATTTTGTTTGGTCAAAACAAACCAATAATTTTCCATTACTTTTCTATCCTTGTATATCAAAAAGTTATTTTTAATTTCAGGTTAGTCATCATCCCCCAATGAGTGCTGGGCATGCCGAGAATGAACATTTTACATACGACGTAACTTCAAAGTTAAAAACTAAGTTTTTGGGGAATTCTGTTGATGTGTACCCTGTTGGAAGGTGATAAACATATTTCTTTAGTGGATTTCCTTTGTTATATTGTTTTTCTCCTATTGTTACTAATATTTTTTAAGTTCTTCCAATTTCACACTCTCATTGTTGCTTTTACTTGTCACACCTTAATTGAAAGAGTTACTACCATCTCATCTCTAATCTATTCTCCCAAGAGATTACAAATGTTTTCAAGCAGAGGAGCGACATATATAGTGATATGTGATGAATACATGACATGTGTGTTTCAATCTAATTATAATGCTTTAGATCTCCATACAAGGTTACCAAATGCCAATGTAGATTTAGGGTCTTGAAGAGCTTGGTTTATGAGATTCTTCATTCATGGTTATATATGATTAATTAGTACTTTATTTAACCATTTCTGTTCTCATTTGAAAATTGAAATATTGGTTGTGTTGGTTTTGTTGTTTCCTTTTTTCATAAGCTTGTTGCTGTTACCTATTTAAGGAGGAGTAATATCTTTGTGAGTGATTGTTTGCAGAACACGTGTGACCCTTAAGAGGCACGGTGTAGTCTTAGATTTGGTGCCACCTCCTACAAAGGTTAACAACCTGATATTTGGCCGAACTTGGATTGATTCGCCTGGGGAAATGATAATGACAAATTTGACAACCGGAGACAAAGCCGTACTTTACTTTCAACAATGTGGATGGTTTGGGTCAGTAACATTTCCACTTCTAGTTTTAGTTTAAAAAATACATTTTTTATTGGTTTATGCGTGTTCTTTATTAGGATTTGGGTTTCAACCTTTGAGCAATTTGTTAATGTATTAATTTCTTGATGTACATTGAAATAAAAAGTACTATTCCCGTTTCACTTGACTTTTGATTTGATGATAATTGAGTGGCTCTGAACTTTGTTCCCCTTCATATATGATGTTTATGTTTTATTTCATTTTTTCCCATTAGCTGTTTAGGCATCTTACTAATATCAGTGTTGACAGCCTTTAATTAAGCTCTACCTATTTCCCCATCTTATATAGTGCCGGTCGCTATGAAGTGGATGGTTATGTTTATAATTCCTCTGAAGATCCTAAAATTTTGATGACTGGGAAGTGGAATCAGTCAATGAGTTATCAACCTTGTGATTCAGAAGGAGAGCCTCTTCCAAACACAGAATTGAAAGAGGTGATACTTTCTTTGTTAATCTTCAAATTGACCTTGTGAATTATATGCAATCAAACTTCACAAGCATTTTTACATTATCTCGAGCTTACTATTTCATGACAAAATCATTGCCGATCTAATCATGCTTGGTAGGTTAAATTTGTAGACAATGATGTTTATGGCCATAAACTCTTTCCAGCTTTAGAGTTTTTACTAGACAATAATACATGGTGACCCATGTGAATATCCTCCAATTCATCAGGCCCCTTGGTCCATCCCCTATCTTATACACATGCACACACTCTTATAATCCAAATGTAGTGTTCTTTGAAATTCCTCGATTTGAAGTTATAGCCATTGCAATCAAGATTCTGACACGCTACTCTGATAAACAAAGTAACGTCACTCTTATACTTTGCCGATATATTGGCTGGTAACAGCATTAATACCTCAAACTTCATTATCAATGTCATTGGCTTTTCATTAGAGATTTAAATTTGCAGGTTTGGCATGTTGCTGATGTTCCTCCAAATGATAAATTCCAGTATACACATTTTGCTCACAAAATAAACAGCTTTGACACCGCTCCTAGAAAGTTGTTGGCATCAGATTCCCGTCTACGCCCAGATAGATATGCACTTGAGATGGGCGACCTATCCAAATCCGGGGCAGAAAAGAGCAGGTTTACTAGCATTTCTTTTGTTCCCTTTCTGTTTCCTTGTGCCCAAAAATATATTAGTTAAACATTGTTTAAGCGATAGCGATGTTCATATAAAATTTTGGAACAGTTTAACATGCTCAACGTTGCATGCTATAATTATGTTCGTTGAAATAACTTGTCTGAGGGGGGGCTGTAGTTCCTTTTGGATTAGTAGGGGTTTTGTTAGAACCTGTATTTCAGAAGATGATCCTAAGCCGAGTCATAGAAGGAGAAGCCTAGAGTGTGGAAGGTTGAATTTCAGAAAGGAGAAAGGTTCGACTGGGCATGCTGTTAGCATTCCGTAAGGATATAAGGGAAATACTTGTGTGAGAGAGTTGTTATTGGAAGGCGAAAAAAAAAAGACTGAGAATTTTTTTTGGACTGTGTGGGCATAGGACAACCATTCTCTGAGGAACGCGGGCTCTGGACCAGTGTATCAGTTACTTTTGATGGAGGAATACCTTACTATTTCATTCTGTCATTTGAGGTGCTATTTGGGTGTCTGTTTTATTTCTGTTTCAGTATCCAAGCAGATTCGATTTTGGATGGTCAAATTGGTAGAGTCCTGTAACCTTTTGTATTGATATCTCTTTTCCCCTTATTTCTCAAAACCTTGGCAGTGGCATTGCTGTCTCTTGAAAAATTGTTAAGCCTGTCACTCTCACCACCTCCCTAAAATAGAAAATGTTTGAGTTTCACCAGATTGATCCCCGGGATATTTGTCTTTTGTTTTTTCTTTTCAGTTTGGAGGAGAGGCAGCGTGCTGAAAAGAGAGCTCGGGAGGAAAAAGGGCATAAATTCTCACCAAGATGGTTTGAGTTAACTGAAGAAGTGACGTCGACTCCTTGGGGTGATTTGGAAATTTACCAATATAATGGTAAGTACGCGGAACATCGGGCTGCTGCAGATAATTCTGGTAGTGTTGTTGATGATGTTGATGTTAAATCAATAGAATTCAATCCATGGCAGTATGGTGACTTGGCCACGGAATGAAGTAGTTTCAATGTTCTTTTGTTTTTGGATGCTGCAGCTAACTTTTTGCAGATGCATTTGAAGAAATCTAACTTCTTGTACTGCGTTGTTGGCTTGTGTACATTGTATCTACGATTCTCTTTATGCCTATTTTAGTATTTTGATTGTGATATGGAATATGTTGCATTGCCGGTGGATGTACTGGTTACCTTGAAATTGTATATATTCTGTGCTGTTTTCAACAACTGAAACATTGATTAACGTGTTTTTAGATAGTGTTTTTTCTATCTATTGTTTTTTAAAATTTTTTTTTTTAATCTCATGTTGCAACACGCAAACGTTTGAAGGATTCACCTAATAGTTTGCGGGAAATACTTAATGCACTCTATGGATTACTAGCCCATCTTCGTAAAAATACAATAATCCTTAGATTCTGAAGATGCATCTCCGGTCACATTCTAAACACATACAACCAATGCTGATTTTGAACTATGCACCAATTGTATAATTAAATTTATTCTGAAAATGTACTTTCGGAATCTATTGAACCAATTCCTCACATTTTAAGTCTCTTCATGTTACATAAACAGTCACATACGTAATGCAAAACAGTAAGAGAATAATAACTCCTTTCTTGAAGTATTCCCCAGGATACATGATTGTCTAGAAGAGAGTATTTTGTCTTCAAAATAATGTTTCATGGGGTTAACATATTTTGGGGACTAAAATGTTTTGTGCAACATCATCTTTAGAAACTTGTTTAGCTTAAACAAGTTGTGGCCCAATGACCTTCTGGATTTCCTCATTAAATTGAAATGAGAATTCCTTCTATGTGAGATTTTATGTTGTTTTTGCCTTTTCTCCCTTACCTGAAACTATGTATGTGAGTGTGTATGTAATGTGAGGAGTTGGTTAAGAGGTTATGGAAATATATTTCCGGAATTTAAAAATGCATTTTTGAAATAAATGTAGTTAAACAATTGAAGCGTAACTCAAAAACGAATAAATTATATGTGCATTAGGTGTATTAAGAGATGTCTTTTTAAAATCAGTATGGTATTTTTGGATTTTCTAAAAGTCCTTTTCCATCTTGGGATTAGCAATTCACATAATTTGCTCCATCCAAAAGAGAGATAATCAAAAGACCCAGTATCTGCATTTGGAAAAGATGTCTGTCTATAGTGTTACAATCCTTAAATCTGATTGTCTAAATGGAAGAGGGTTGTGTTTTGGTGTAGTTGTTTTGTTCTATTCCATATAAAAGTGTTGGTAAAACACTCTTCAATACATATTTTTCAGCACACAATTTTATTGGTTAAAATTTATATATAACAATTAGAAATATAGATTAAGATCAAGCAGGTAGAGTTATAGAGGTTAAATACTAAATTAAGGGACCGAAAGCGTTTACTTATATAAGAAAAAGGATCTGAATAAAAAAACTTATTTTCTTCTAACTTCATCCAACCTCCAAATTTATTGAACCAAGGACTTTTGGTTCCTTGGTCTCGTCAACAAGGAAAAAAATTGATAAAATGATAAAGATAGTTTTGTTCTGTGATAAGGGTGACCACGAGTTAAGTAAATATGATGTATGCAGAAAAACCCAAACCGATCAAATGTGGGAGAGTTATGTAAGCATCTTTTAGCTATGCGGTGGTGGCGAAAATTTATTTTATGAAAATTTGATTAAAAATAAGTTTAAAATAAAATGATTTATGTTGATATATAAAACATTTATATAAATGTGAATTGATAATAAATTTCAATTTAAAATTTCAATTTAAATTATGAATGTCATAATCAGTTATATTTTTGAAGAATAAAACAGTTCAAAAATTAATTTCACAATGAGTTTTAGTTTTTAATTTTTAAAAACTATTTTGTAAATCAATTTTAAAAAAGAGTTTTGAAAGAAAAAAAAATTTGATAGTCTAGTTTTTGAAAATTATTTTAAAGTTGAACAATATTACAAATTTGTCATTAATAAAAAATGTACCATTTTTTTTTTATTCTTCATAATTTTTAAAACTAAAAACTAAAACCAAAAACTTTCAAAAGCTATTTTAATTTTTTAATTTTTAAAACTTTCAAATAGAGAATAGTTTTCTAAAACTAGACTACCAAACAAATTTTATAATTTTTAAATTTTAAAAACTGAAAAACAGTTTTACAAAACCATATCAAACACATCTTTAGAATTGATTTTGTCTATTGTAAAATGAGAATCAAACACTTAAGCAACTTTAATGAGTAGTTGTACAGTAACATTAGATGAAAGAATGCAAATTTAAATTTGCAATATCCTACTTATTTATCTTAAAAGATGAATTTCAAATAATAAACTAGAAATAAAGGTCTAAGATAAAAAAATCCTATTATAATAAATTTAAAATATATTATTCGAGTCTGATCCTAGATGGATTGCGGATTACTCAGTCATAAACAAACCATTTATTTAATTTTTTATCAATAAATAAATAATCTTATAAAATTTATGATATAAAGTAAATTGTTTTAAATATACAATATAAGTATATTGTTTTTTTATTTACTATATTATTTTGTAAAAATAATTGAACATGTTCTTAAATATAATATAAATTTAAAATTGTTTATAATAGTATATAAATATTCAATATAACACAAATTAATAGAATATAAAATAAAACGTTAAATAAGTAAATATTAATTTAATTATTTTAATGTATATTATTGAAAATAGAAAAATTAAATATAATTTAAGAAATAAAATTTAGAAAAGTGTCACATCTCAATTTGTAATTTTTTTAATGAAACAACATAAATATTAATATATTTTTTTGAATTTTAATCATATGGGCCAAAAAGACTATCAGTAATCCATGCAACTATTTTAATGAATATCGAACTTTTTATGATTAGATTAAATAAATTTTTACAAATTTGAGTTCTAATTTTAAGGCACAAATCTTATGTTTTATAATTTTCTTTTTTTGACTCACTCATATGAGCTAGCTCATTTCAAGGTATATGTGTTGGAAATGCTAAATATGAACACGTCAAAAAATGGACATTACTTTTGTCACCTTAGTGATACCCATGCGTCTGACTGAAAAATCAATAATATTCTTAAAATCAGAAATTTAACCTTCGAACGCATTCAAAATGCAATCAAAGTCAAGTTTTAGGCTCAGACCATTACATAAATGAATAAACACGAAGATTAAGTTCCATATTTTTTATGGAGGTTAAGTTGCGTAAACGTTTGATTTTTATAAGGTGTCATATCTTCCGTCTTCTTTCTTCTTCATTTCATTTCAAATAATTTACTGAAAACACATAATAGAGCTCCTGAACAAACTTGTCTTCCGTCATTTTTCAAGTTTTCTCACTACTTCTATTGCATTGCATTCAAGTTTATGACATCAATCAACCTTTATTCCACTCCATTAATCGAAAATCATCGAATTCTCACATTCGGTAAGTTTTTACTTTTCTTACATTTTTTTTTGTTTTTGATGCATTAGTATAAAGTTAAATGCATAATATGTTGTTTATCATACATTAGGATGCATAATAAGTTGTTTAGTTAGGCATGCAGGTAGATTTTTTTTTTTTTAAAGTTTGAGGTTAGATCGTACGGGCATGCTCTGCTCCTTCGTTCACTACTATGAAAAACATATACAACAACGATTGAAAAAGATATATTATCACGTAGGACCGACCGTTGTTACGTAGCGTGTGGTTGTATATGCGTTACTTACAATCACAATCATATGACTGTTGTAGAAAACCTGAAAGCGTGCGACATATTACCACGGTTGCTGTAACTAACCGTTGTAATATATTAAAGGTCCCAAGTTCGATTCTCAGCAGCGCCATTTTGGTATATATATTATTCTGGACAACATTTAACAACCGTCATTAAATTATCTTCTTTTTGAAAATTTTCCATTTTTTAAACTGCATTTTTGTGAATAGTATCAGATCAGAACAACAATTGTATCATAATAAATAATTGTATTGTATTACATCAAATTCATACATTAAATTAAGAACCAAACAGTATATATATATATATATATATATATATATATATATATATATATATATATATATATATATATATATATATATATATATATATATATATATATATATATATATATATATATATATATATATATATATATATATATATATATATATATATATATATATATATATATATATATATATATATATATATATATATATATATATATATATATATATATATATATATATATATTACATCAAAAGAATGACACAAAACAACCTACAAACATTATATAACATCACATAATTGTATCTTATATAATATTTTGGTTTCTTTGTCTCTTGGTGTCTTGACTTTAAACAACTACAATATCAAATAATCACACTTGTTAGTAATAAATATAGTTAGAAATAATAACTTATATTAAATTATGAATAAATAACAAAATACTTGTTAATTTTTCCATATGCCTTCATTATGATCGATACGAATAGCATGCATATCATCTCTATCAATTTCATCATACGTGGTAGGCACTTTTGTTATGTAAGAAGGAGTAGAAGGAATATCAAAACTTTCATCACTACTAGGAATGTCTTTTCCTCATAAAACGATTAACCATTTCCCCGATATGTCCGAAGGGTCAGTCACATAGAAACCTTGTATTGCTTGTGAAGCCATGATGAATGGTTCAGTCATATAGTTTTTCTTGCCAAGGTCAACCCGGGTGAATCCTAAGTCATAAGTTTGTACACCATTAATATTATTGGGAACCCACTTGCATTTAAATAAAGGCACTTTGAAGATAACATAATCAATTTCTCAAATCTCCTCAATGACACCATAGAATGCACTAGATGCCAATATTGGATTCTTATCTTTTGAACTAGAGAAATACATGGATTCGGCTTCAACCGTAACTTCACTATTTTGTATTGTACTATGATCATCTTTTGATTTTGTGTAAAAGGTATAATGACCAATGTCATATGCAATACAA